TGCACAGGGGAGAATCCCAAGTTATGCCAAAAATAAAAGTTTAAAATGTGCTAAAAATGTTTTCTCCCCACGTTTTGCCTTTGCCTCCAGCTCCCCACAAAGAACAGGCACAGGAATCCAGGGAGAAAACATGCAAACCTTCCCTGTCCTTTTGGAATTATCCATTTCCTTCTGACACTTTGTATTTTGGGGCCAGAAATGGCAGGAACAGGTGAACCAGCCTGATTTTCCTTTCCTTGGGCAATCCCATGGTTGGGAAGGTGGGTTGGAATTCCCTCAGCCACGACTTCAGGAGCAGAGGGAACACAACCTTCCCCGTGCTGCCAAATTCCCTAACGGCTCATCCAGCAAAGCAGATGACCAGGAGACACTAAAAAAATTTGGGAATAACAGGGAATTCAACAGAGCTGAAGCGGGTTTTTTTTGCAGGGTTTTTTTTTTCCTGCCAGGGTCCCAAAACCAGCTTTGTCTCAGATCATCATCAGGCAAATCCCCGCTCCGAGCTCAAAATCCCAGCCCCGGCACCTCTGGATTGTTTGGCTGGAGAAATCCCAGAGTTTATTTGTGTGGTCAGAGGGGTGTGGGCTCTAGCCAGGTGTCCTGGTGCCATTCCAACATTAATATCCCTAAATCTCCCTCTGAAATTAAAGGGAGGGAGTGTGGGCTGTGGTTTTACGTCTGTCCTCTCCTTCACCTTCCCCCCCTGCTATGGCATAACTCCTGCAGAACTGCTCGTTGGAGAATATCCCTCATCCCAACAGTGGGAGGAGGGACAGCAGCTCATTTAATTCCCTGGTTTTCCTGAATGCACTCCATCTGCAAGGAGAGGTTGCTCCACGCCACGTTCCCAGCACCAGACCACCCAGTACAACCCAGTCAGCAGGTTCAAGGCACTGTATTGTTTGTAACTGAATAATGAAAATAATAAATAATTTTTTCCATTAAATAGTATTATTATTAGGATTATTTAAATAACAATAATAAACCCCCACTCCTAACAACAAAGTAAGAGACAAAACATCCCTTGGGGTGAGGATTTCCTTCCCGGGAGGCTTCCCAGGATGGTTGTCCTGTTCCCATAAGGATCTGAGGAGCTTTTCCTTCTCTTGTGCCAGAAAATCTGTGCAGACAAAGAGCCAGCTTTATTTTGTCATGATTTCCCAGTTTTCCAAGTGGCCCTGCTGCTGCTCCCAGGTCACCTATGAGAGCCTAACATTCCAGCTGTGGTCCACTCCTTCCACTTCCAGGAGGAAAAAGCTTGGGAAGAGTGTGCTCTGTGTATAACCCAAAGGAATTTAAAAGCACGCTCAGGATGTGCCTGCTGGTGTTCAGTGGGATTTCTCCTCCCTGAATTCCCAGTGACTGTATTCAAATGGAAAGGGAGAGACGGTGTTTGGAATTCCTGGGTTCAAACACACAGCAAGGTGGAAAATGGGCTGGAGAAGGGGGATAAAACCCAGCTGGATTTGGGAAGATGAGGACCGTGTCCTTACTTGACTTCCAGCATCACCCACATGGGAGCCACTCAGAACACCCAGAGCAGCTCCCTCCCACCTGGCAGAGACCCCAAACACCAGCAAAGGTCCACACACAGCTCGGGTTTAATCTGGGAGAGATACGGAATTCCTGGGTTTGATAAGGAGGTTTAGCCTGGGAGCTGCTCCAGTGTTGGAGAAACGCTGATAAAGCTGCAGGGAGGGTCCTTGGACACACAGTGCCAGGGTAGAAAATGCCAGCCCAGGCTTGGAACAAACCCCTCCTGCCGTGAAAGGGAGTGAGAGACCTGGAAGGGACGGGATATTTGGGGTGGGCACTGCTCCTTCCTTCCCTCACTCCCTGTTTCCTTCTGTCCAGCTGGGTGTTCACCCACTCCATCAAAACAAACCAGAATGGACTGGGTGGGAAAGGACCTTGAGGATCATCCCATTCCAAGGACACCTTCCATATATATATAATATGAGTCACAGATTTCCTCCACGGCTCACACGTTTCCCCCGAGGACAGGGACTGCCTGAGGAGTAAAGTGGCTGTGCTGCATTCCCCCCATAACAACGGTGAAAAACTAAGTAAAACAAACCTCCTGCTCCTGGTATTTGGCATTTCATTCCCACTTACAGCCCTGCTAATTCCGCCTTCTTAGCGAGGGGCTCCCAAACTGGCCACGGGGCTTCCGCCTCCCAAAACATTCAGCTGGGAAATGCCCCGTTCAGCCCTGACGGCTTGGAAAAGCACACAATAAAAACCTTCACATCCAACAGGGCACCTTTGGCATTAGCAGGGGGCACAACCCCGCTCCGCGCTGCCCAAATTCCCGATATTTCACGGATTAAAGCGCTGCCCCGTCCAGAGTGCCCTTCCCAGGGCTGCCAGGCTGTCCAGTGCTCCGTGGCCTTGGAGATGTCTCCGGAGGAAACCCAGTTCCTCCTATTCTTCTCCGTGGGCTGCTGGCGCAGGTGTCCCCCCCTCCGGCCCCATTGTCCCTCATCCCAGCCCTCGGGATCTGCTGATGTCACACACACAGAACACGTTTCCTCCCTCAGCCTCGCAGCAGCAGTTTTTTTAACCAGCGTCCCCTCGTCAAGCCGCTTTTTAAATTGTTTTTTAATTGAATTCCGCTTTATTTTAAGCCCCGCGTGCCCTCCGGCAGGAATTCTGCTCTCCACGAGATAATTTGGATTTGATTATCAAGCGAGGCGGGGGTTTATGGGCTCGTTCAGCCAAGAAACAAACCCCTTCTTAAGTCATGAGCCACGGCTTTGATTCTCGAACCATCAGGCCGAGAAGGAAATTTAAAGAGCATGGCGTATTTATTAAAAATGAAAGAAGCTCGATGTGTTTTTAACTCACCAAAAACCTCCCTTTGCCAAAGCTGTGGGTAAAAAATACTGGCACAAGTTTTGCAGACAGGGATCTCACCAAAAAGCGATGGGGGGGGAGGTTTCCTGTCCACAGAACTGTTTGTAAACAGGGATATTCAAATATTTATTGGGGAGAAAAATATAGTAAAGCTGCTGGCAAAGGTTTTTAGCTTCATTTTTGCAAATTGAGACACCACGGTCTTGAAAAAAGAAGTTCTTCCCTGGGACAGGAGCCCTGACTTCCTACACATCCTAATGGAGCAATTATTTAATTACCCTGGAATGACCTCTTGGATCCACACCCAGAAATTATATTTAAGTATTTTGGGGGTTTTTCATAAGCCCAGGTTGGGAACATCCAGAGGAATTATAGTTAAAAAATGGGCATTTTTTTTCTTCGTGGAATGGAGAAAAAGTGGACCAAAAAAAAATGCTGAATTGGTTTGTTGAAGCAATTTGTTGGTTGGGACTTGTGGGACCAGTTGGAAAGGGAAAACACGAGCCGTGTTTTTATAACAGTCCTGGGCTGGCAGCAAGGAAATGCTTTTGTGTTGAGCTCTCTTATTCCTTCCAAGGCAAAAAAAATCCCCCACCCCAGCCCACCTTTCTGAAATTCTGAATAAAATCAAGTTGAAATGGCATCAAAGGTGGGTTTTTTCCTCCCACTGCAGTTTTTTGGGGTGGCTGCTGACCCAAAATTCTCTGGTTTTGGAGTGTTAGGTGTGGATCTCTGGACCTTTGCTCAGACAGGGGAAGCCAGGAGACATCCCAGCAACCAGGGCTGTCCTGGGAATGCTGTACATGGGCAGGTCTGGGGAATAATGGCAGAAATCTGCAGTGTTTAGTAGTGGGATTTCTGGCAGCTTTTCTCTTTAGGAGGGATGCGAACGAGGGGGTTCCTCATTTTGCTTTCTCTGGTTACTGAGCCAGCTCAGCCCACAAAACCCAGATAAACCAACAAATCCTGGAATGAGCAGGGAATTCATGGCTGTGATGGGTGCCTGCCAAGCAGGAAAGGATACAACAGACTCCCAGGTCAAGGGGTTAAAGTCTGAATGAGCTGCTGCCAGAGGGAAGCTCCAGGAGAAGCTCCTGGGGATGCAGCAGGGCGGGTGGACCATCAGGGATGAGCTATTTTTAAACCCATTTTGGTCACTTGTTATCCCTCCTTCTGCTTTTCCAGTGACTGGCATCGCTTGACACGTGTCATCAAAGCTTCTGCCAGCTCACCTTCATCCCAGGGTCTCCCAGCAGCCAGTGGGAAGCACCAGGAGCACCGTGGCTGGAGACACCATCCTGCCTTCCTCCTGCCACAGGTGATCAGGGAGGTGTTAACGGAGCATCCTGGCATCCAGGCCAGGTTGGACAGGGCTTGGAGCAGCCTGGGGTGGTGGAAAGTGTCCTTGCCCACGGCAGGGGGTGGGACTGGGTGAGCTTTAAGGTCCCTTCCAGCCCAAACCATTGTGGGATTCCGCGATCCACCCTCGCCCACGTGATGCCAACACCGACCAGGGTTTGCTCGGGGCGGCATCAGAGCTTGGCTCTGTCCTGGCAGCCCGGACCTTCCCACGACCCAGCTCCTATTCCAAGGGCTCGTCCATCTATTTAAAGCACATGGAGAAGGGGAAAAATGCACTGGAAGCGTCGCGCGTGCGCGGGGGAGACGGCGCCAAATATTCCGTCTGCTTTAGAGGCCGATGGCCAGGGATCCCACGGCTCCTCCGTTCGGTTGTTTTCCTTCCCCGTTTTAGCAAGACGTGCCTGCAAACTCTCGGACCCTATTAGGGGTTAGAAAACCGTCTGCCGGGTTGAGGGAGTAAATCAAGCCCTTGAAAAACAGCAGCAATAAAAAAAAAAAAAAAAAAAAAGGCAGGAACGGGGCGAGTTTTTCCCGTAGAAAAGCGTCACCAGCCAGAGCAGCCGAAACTTTGGGATGGGAGCTCGGAGCCGGCCGTGCTGGGGGGAAGGGGAAGACAGCGAGGGACCAACAAGCAACCGGGAGCCGAACCACGCTACAGGAAACCGTGGCCTCCGGTGATAAATAGGAGACCCAGGAGCACAGGATGCGCGTAGGGCGAGCTCGGCGGGACGAGGGGATGTGAGCCGGCGTTGCCGAGTCCCTGTGTCCGTGTGTCCGTCCGTCCAGTTGGAGGGATGGCCCTGGCCTGGCTGCTGCTGCTGCTGCTGCTGCTGGCGCTGGCGGTGCCGGGCTCTGGCGGGGAGGAGGCGGAGGTGGTGTGCGCCGACAACGCCTGCTACACCCTGCACCGGGATGAGCTGGACTGGAAGGGCGCCCAGGAGCGCTGCCGGCACAACGGCGGCAACCTGGCCAGCGTGGGCAGCCCCGGCGAGGCTGCGCGGCTGCAGGAGCTGCTGGAGGCGGCCGGGGGGCACGGCCCGGCCTGGATCGGGCTGTGGCTGCAGCGGGGGCACTGCGTCCAGCCGCAGGAGCCGCTGCGGGGATTCTCCTGGGTGGCCGGAGGGACGCCCGGCAACTTCTCGGCGTGGGCGTCGGAGCCGTCGATGACCTGCACGAGCGCCCGCTGCGCCAGCCTGCGGCCCCGCGGCCCCCACGGCCCCGCCGGCTGGGCCGACCGGCCCTGCCGCCTCCCGCTGCCCGCCTTCCTCTGCAAGTTCAGCTTCCAGGGAATGTGCGGCCTCCTGCCGCTGGCCGGGCCCGGCCGGGTCACCTACGGCACCCCCTTCGGGGTGCGCAGCTCCCGTCTGGCGGCCGCGCCCTTCGGCACCTTGGCCGAGGTGGATTGCGAGGGGGACAAGAGCCAGGACTTCGCCCTCTGCAAGGGGACGCTGGACGGGGGGGGCTTCGCCTGGGACCCCCCCGGGCCCCTGTGCCCCGTGGCCTGTGCCCACCGCAACGGGGGCTGCCAGCACCGCTGCCTGGAGGTGCCCGGGGAGCCCCCGCGCTGCTCCTGCCACGCCGGCTACTCCCTGGCTGCCGACATGGCCTCCTGCGTGCCCGAGGATTCCTGCCACCCCAACCCCTGCCAGGGCACCTGCCGGGCCCGTCCCGGTGGCTTCGAGTGCGGCTGCGAGGCCGGATACACCGTGGCCCCCGACGGCCGGAGCTGCCTGGATGTGGATGAGTGTCTGTCCGGACCGTGCCAGCACCAGTGCCACAACACTCCCGGGGGCTTCGCGTGCCTGTGCCCACCCGGCTACCGCCCGGCGGGGCCAGGTGGCCGCCTCTGCCAGGACCTGGACGAGTGTGCCCAGCCCGGCGTGTGCCCGCAGCTCTGCATCAACGTCCCCGGCTCCTTCCACTGCGCCTGCCGGCCCGGCTACCAGCGCCAGCCGGGCGGGGATTCCTGCCTGGATGTGGATGAGTGCCTGCGGGATCCCTGCCCCGGGCCCTGCCGCAACTTGCCCGGGGGCTACGAGTGCGTGTGCCCGCCCGGCTTCCTGCCGGAGGAGGAGGGACGCGGCTGCCGCGCCGCAGCCGCCGCCGGAGAGGAGCCGGCGGAGGAGGTCCCCGACGGCCCGCCGGGCACCGCGAGCATCCCAGCGAGCACGGGCGCCGCGTGGACCGCGAGAACCCCGCGGAGCACGGGCACCCCCCGGACCACGAGCATCCCGCGGACTCTGGGAGTGCCCGCCGGGGTGACGCCGGCGGCCCCCACGGCGGAGGGAGCGGCCCCCGGCCCCGACGAGCACAGCGCCGACGGCCCGCGGCTGCTCCTCTACTACATCCTGGGAAGCTTGGTGGCCATCCTGCTCCTGCTGGCCTTCGCCCTGGCCCTCGTGGCTTGCAGGAGGAGGGCCGCCAAGAAGGAGAAGCGGCCGGCCAAGAGCGCGGCGGATAATTATTGCTGGGTGCCCGAGCAGCCCGAGAGCCGCGGGCAGGGCGGGGAGCGCAGGTAGGAGGGAGGCGGGGAGCGCGGGGCGGTCGAAAGTGGAAATAAAAGGGAGGGGGGATGATGTGTGTTCGGGGTGCGTCTGTGCGGTGCGGTCCTGCACCGGGAAGAGTTAACCAGGGGGAGGAGGAATGGGGTGGGATTTGCCTGCCAGGGCTTCTCCTCGGCTCTTCGGGACCTCGCCGTGCTCCAAAAAGGCAAATTAACAGCTATGGTTCGGACTCCTAAAGGAAAACAGTTCGTTTCGAGTTCTCCTGTAGCCCTTCCCCACCCTGTCCTTTGCTATCCCCAAAGCATTGCTCCCCCCCACTTCCACTCACGGCTGAATTCCACCATTGGATTTGCTTTGTTCTCTTGGAAAAGGGCTTGAAATTCGGATGTGTCTCACCGGGGTGAGAACTGACCCCTGCAGACACAAGCAGGGCGGGCTCGAATGTTTTATTTTGGGGTTTTTATTAAAAATCTGTCACCTCAGCGCTGGGAAAACTGCTCAGCGAGGGGCCAAGGCAGCACCTGTACTGGAAAAAAAGGTAGGAGAAGCTGTGTTTGGAAGAACCACCTACCCATTTCCAGTGTATCCTGCCTAAATCCACTTGCAAAATACAGCAAACAATGCTCTCCTTCGCAGCAACAGGATGGGAGGCCGGACTTTTCCTGTTGGATCACTCTTTTTGGGTAGGATCCCTTTCCTGGCTGCCTGGGCTCCGGGCTGAGCGTGTTTTCCCTCCCTCCCCGCGTAAGGAACGCGCTGGATGTTGGGTATTTGCTCTTTGTTATGCGTCAAACTTGTAACTCCACCACTGCAAATGCTTTCTCAGGGCAAAGGTGCCCCCCAGGTACTTCCCCAGCTTCACGGAGCCCCTCCTGACAACGAAGCCGTTTCATCAGGAATCCTTCCCAGAATCCCGAGGGGCGCGGGGACCTGCTTCCCATCCCATCCCAGCAGCGTTCCTTCCTGGTTTATCCGCGCTCTGCGGGGGCAAAAAGGTGCTAGCAAAGAACAGACACGTGATTTTAGGGTACAGCAGCTTCCTGAGGTTTCTGCTGGGTTCATTGTCCTTGAGGCTTAATTGCTCCAGGAGTGGGAATTGAACACAAAGGAGTTTGCAGTAGGCAGCGACCTGCATCCTGTTCTTCCAAGCATGGAGGAAAACCCTTTCCTGCTGTTATTTTTTTTCGTCTTTGGGGCTCCATTGTGAGATGAAAACACAGCACAGGAAAATGTAGCTGATAGGAATGTTTTCCATGTTCTGTCTGCGCTTTCTTTTCTCTGCATGGTGGCTGGAGAAGGGGGAGAAGGCAGCAGTGGGATTCTTAGAAATCCTACAGAAAATTCCTCCCCTGCCTGTGTTCTCCAAGGCAGGCACCGAACAAATTAGGCAGATTAATTACCCCGTCAAAATCAGGGGGACAGCCAACATACATCAAATTATGCCGACTCGGGATCTGTGGGAAAAGACAGCCTTCATTTTTATTAAGGTGTCCACAAACTGCTGGCTATAACAGTATAAACAAGAGAAAAGGAAGCATAAGGGTGGGACCAGAACTGGTACATTTACTCCAGAAAAAATGGTAATCCTAATTCCTGTTACAACCTCTGTGCATTCCAGTGGAATACAGAGGTGGGTCCGGCCTTGGGAAGACACTGCTTTTGATTCAAAGAAACTTCTGCCAATCTGAAAAGCACCTTTATTACGGCCGGGGAATGCAAAGGGGTAGTTGTTCTCCCCAGTGCACTCCGCTGAGCCAAGAAATAACACAGCTTTTTATACAGTTTGAAAGTAGCAAGTTCAAAAATATCTTTACACACACTCTTTTTGCAGTCTGTCTTATCTAAATAGACATTTAATTTTACCCTCTATTCTTACCATTAGAGAGTAGTTACATAAAGTTTTATCATTTCAAGCAGTTTCAGGTTCCCCACCCCTCTCTACGTGCTAAAAAAAACTTTCCCTATTTTCTAAGCTATTTTATCTCAATTGCCCACAGTTTGGGCAGAAACTTTTAAGCAGTTTTACATTTTGCAAAGTCACACTTACATTGCTGAATATCTAAATTTTATTTCACTTTCTATTTCACTTTGTGCTGGGCTTTAGTCTGAGTTCTCTCTGGTGGGCTATTCCCTGATGTGCAATTCCACCTGGATAATCTCACGGCTCCCTTTCTTCCTGCCACAAACCCAGCAGGACCATTTTGGATCCGTGTGCTCCTTAGGGAGTTGTCCAGGGACCAGTGAATCCCACGGGACAGGATAGTTTGGGGCCCTGTCTTACAGAGGATGCAGGACATTCATCCTGGTCCAAGGTTTTTTTTTCCTCATGGATGAGTGTTTTATTTTCCTGGGCCAGAATTAAACACTTGGACTCAAAGGATAAGGTTTTCCCACCTGTGGAAAAAAGGCTGTAAGTTGCTTTCTGGATGAAACACCAATAAAACCTGAACAGAAAGTGTCTTCAATGGTTTTTAATAAATATATTCATAGAAATCTGTTGGCTTGGTACTTGGAATCCTTGTGTTTCCCACAGCAGTGGATGGTGCTCCCAAATCCTCTGCCAGGGCTCATCCCATGTGGAATCTCAGCCTTTCCCAGGCTCTGCGGTCCTGGGCAAGGCCTTTCCCTTCATCCCTACCAAGGCCACGGTGTGGGGGCACTGGGATGGGCTTGGTTGGATCCTAAACCCATGAGCAACTTCCTAAGCCCACGAGGAAAGTCCCAAACCCATGAGCAAGTTCCTAAAACCATGAGGAAGGTCCCAAGCCCACGAGCAAGGACCTAAACCCATAAGCAAGGTCCTAATCCCATGACCAAGTTCCTAAAACCACAAGCAAGGTCCTAATCCCATGACCAAGGTCCTAATTCCACGATCAAGGTCCTAAATCCGTGAGCAATCCCTCTGATTTCAGCACAGCTCTCTATGAGGGTAGAGATCTGCTTTTTAGGGATCAAATAATAGGATGAAACCATTTTTGATGATTTCATATCAATTACGTTGTATTATTATTTTATATTCCATATTAATTACATTACATAATATTATTATTTTATGTTCCATTGCATTCTATTCCCCCGTGGATAACTGCCAGCATTCCAACTGAGGAACCTCATCTCCAAAACGCCACAAAGACGCCAAAAATCCCCCTGTTGACACACACAGGTCAGGACAACCATTCCAAGTACCCGCTCCCGGTGTCCCTCTGCCCGCGGGGCTGACAGTGACAGGGATGAGTCAGAGCCAGAGGGAAAAAGGGAAAGGTCTCCGTCCCCTTATCGCTCCGGGAACATCTCCCAAGAGCTTTGTGTGGCAGAGGAACATGATTAATGGGTTTGAGGGGGGAGGAAAAGCCGCCTCACAGCAGGAAGGGCATTTCTGGCACCCTGAGTCAGCCCCGGGCTGGAGGCAGTGCCGACGGGGAGGTTCATCCGAATAAAAAAGGGAATTATTAAAACATGATTAATCGCGTTCCTCCCGCCCCAGTTATCTTTTTAGCGGCAAAGGTCGACCCTGCAAATGCTGTTGGTGGGGCAAGGACATCAGTGTGGGATCATTGTTTGGGAGGGCTGTATTTTTTCCTGGAAATATTTCCCATCGCTCAGCCTTGACGAGGAATTTTTTTATCTGGTTTTACAGTTGCTTTTAAAAAAAAAAAAAAAAAAAAAAAAAAAAAAAAAAAAAAAAAAAAAAAAAAAAGGAACAAACCAGAAATCTATTTGGGTTTTTTTGGTTATTTTTTTTTTAATTTTCCACTTATTAAATTTGGTGTTCTTTTATTTTCTGGTTTTTTTGCCCTGAAATTCCACCCTTATTTCGCTGCTTTGCTTCTGAAAAAAAAAGAAGAAGTAAAAGAAGAAGTAGAAGAGGAAGAATTGAAAAAACTGAAGTGAAAATTGGGGAAGCAAGAGGTTTTACTAAAGCCAAGGAAGGTCAGTGTTACCCAGCTCTGCAGGGAAGCCCTGGGAATGATCCTGTCCTCATTTTGAGGGGATGGAGGGTGGCTGAGCTCTCCTTGGATGAATTCTTTATCCCAGGAATGGCCACTGCAAGCTCACACACGAGGACACTAATCTGTCCCTCCAACCTTTCTCCTTGGGCTGCATCCCTGCCTCTGGAATTAAATCCCATGGACACTGATTTTCCAAGCGTGTGGCAGAGCTGAAACCTTCAAGGGGATGAAAGGAGAGATAATAATTTATTGTTAGTGTTATTAAGCATTATTATTATTATCCTTTTCCCCACAGCCTCACGTGAGCTACGGGACCCACACGGGGTGGGAAGAGGGACAAGACAAACCACAGGAGTTTAATAAATAATAAATGAAGTTTTAATGAAGTAAATTCCTTGGGATGAGCCGAGGAAATAGGGATTTGCTGCTCCGCTGGGGGGATCCCAAGAGTTAATTGCAGTGACTGAGCCTTTAGGAATTAAAACCAAAAAGGGTCAAATACCTTTTCTTTGGGGTGGAGAAGCTTTGGATGTTTGGTTTTCATTTTTACTTTGTTCCTGGCTGTGTCCTGGCAGCAGAGACAGATCCCCCAGAGATGACACAGGGAATGGGACAGCTGGAGGTGCCCACAGGGAAAGGGAGATGATATCCCGGGAGTGGGACCCCCTGGTGCCCTGGGAGGAGGCTGTGGGGAAAAGGGTAATAATAATAATGCTTAATAAGATTAATAACAATTATTATAATTATAGAATTTTATATCGATATATAAATTATCTATAATAATTTACTGGCATATATACATATATATTGATTTATTATTGTCGTTTAAATTATTTAGTAAATAAATTTTCCGAATATCCAACCTGACCCTCCCCTGGCACAGCCTGAGGCCGTTTCCTCTCATCCTGTCTCTTGTTCCCTGGGAGCAGAGCCCGACCCTCACCTGGCTCCCCTCTCCTGTCAGGGAGTTTTTGGGAGCAAGAAGGTCCCCCCTGAGCCTCCTTTTCTCCAGGCTAAGCTCCCCCCCAGCTCCCTCGGCCTCTCCTGCTGCTCCAGACCCTTCCCCAGCTCCTTTCCCTTCTCTGGACACGCTCCTGCCCCTCAATGTCCTTGTTTTCATGCGGAATCCAAACCTGGAGACAGGATTTGAGGTGTGAGCTCAGCAGCGCCCAGCACAGGGGGGCGGGCACTGCCCTGGGCCCGCTGCCACGCTGTGGCTGCTGCACAAACAGGGTGACGACACCATTGGGGTGACGATCCCATTGGGGTGACGATCCCATTGGGGTGACGATCCCATCTGGGGTGACGATCCCATTGGGGTGACGATCCCATCTGGGGTGACGATCCCATTGGGGTGATGACGATCCCAGCGGGGTTCACCCGCTCTGACTCCCATCCCGGGGTGCCCTTTTGTGAAACCCAGTTGCTGTTTCCCCCTCGGCACCGGGAGAACCCCCGTTTTTCCCGGTCGCGCTCGGCCCCATCCCGCTCCCCGGCGCGTGCCCCCGTCCATCCCGCGGGATACCCCGCTCGGCTCCCGCCCCTCCCGCTCCTCCCGGGCGGGACCAGCCGGGGAGGAGCCGTGGGGAGGATGCGGGAAGGGGGGGCCCCGGGGCCGGCGTGGGCGGGTGGGAGGGGAAGGGGGAGACGCGTCTGGCCGGGATTCACCCGCCGCAATCACTCCCCGTCCCCCGAGGCGCTTCCTTCCCCCGACGGGGCGGGCGGGCGGGCGGCTATAAAGGGGGCGGGCGGCGGGCTCGGCCATGCCAGAGCTCCGCGGCGGCGCCGGCCGCCCCCTCCGCCGGCCATGCGGCGGCTCCCGCTGCTGCTGCCGCTGCTGCTGCTGCTCGGGATGGGGCTGGGAGCGCCGGGCGAGCCGGGGGAGCCGGAGCCGCTCGCCCCGTCGGGCGCGCAGTGCCTGCAGCACGCGTGTTTCGCCGTGTTCTGGGGGTCGCGCCCGTTCGCGGCGGCGAGCGCGGGGTGCGAGCGGGGCGGGGGGCACCTCATGACCGTGCGCTCCACCGTGGCCGAGGAGGCGATCGCGCTGCTGCTGCAGAACCGCGGCGGGCGGCTGTGGCTGGGGCTCAGCCTGGCGCCCTCCCTGCGCTGCACCGAGCCCGCCCGGCGGCTCCGCGGCTTCCGCTGGGTCACCGAGGACAACCGCACGGACTACACCAACTGGGCGCCGTCGGGGCCGCGCTGCGGCGAGCGCTGCGTGACCGTGTCGCGGGAGCTGCGCTGGGAGGAGCGGCGCTGCGAGGACCCCGCCGACGGCTTCCTCTGCGAGTACAACTACGGCAGCAGCTGCCCGCTCCTGCCGCCCGCCGAGGGGCTCCCCGTCAGCTACACCACCCCCTTCGGCGCCCGCGGAGGGGAGTTCCTGGCGCTGCCGCCGCGCAGCGTGGCCTCGGTGCCCGCCCTGGGGCTGGAGCTGCGCTGCGACGAGGACGGCGAGGGCGGGCGGCTGCGCTGGGGCCGCGCCGAGCCCGGAGCGTGGCCGTGCCGCCTGGGGCGCGGCGGCTGCGAGGGCGCCTGCAACGAGGGCGCGGGCGGGCCGCGCTGCTCCTGCCCCGACGGCGCCGTGCTGGGCCCCGACGGGCGCGGGTGCCGCTCGCCCTGCGCGGGGGCGCCGTGCCAGCAGCACTGCGTGGTGTCCGGCAGCTCCTTCGTGTGCATGTGCGACACCGGGTACCACCTGGGCGCCGACGGCAGCTCCTGCGAGGACAACGACGACTGCGCCAGCGAGCCCGGGCTGTGCGAGCAGGTCTGCGTCAACACCATGGGCGGCTTCGAGTGCCGCTGCTACGCCGGCTACAGGATGGTGGACGGGCACTGCCAGCGCGAGTCCCACTGCTACAGGGCGCCCTGCGAGCAGAGCTGCGAGGACGTGCCCGGCGGGTACCGCTGCGGGTGCTACGAGGGCTACGCCGTGGACCCGCGGGACCCCGCGCGGTGCCGGCTGCACTGCAGCGACAGCCAGTGCCCGCCCCACTGCAACCAGTACGGCGAGGGCTGCGAGTGCCCCGAGGGCTTCCTGCTGGACGACGACAAGCTCTGCGTGGACATCGACGAGTGCGACATGAACTACTGCGAGCACAACTGCACCAACCACCCCGGCGGCTACCGGTGCCACTGCCCCGCCGGCTACCGGCTCGTCAACGACCTCGACTGCGCCCCGTTCCCGGAGCAGGACACGGAGGGACCGCCGTTCTCGGGGGATTTCGAATCCCAGACGCTCCCCCCCACCCCGGCCGTCCCGCGGACGCCCGCGCCCAGCCGGACCCCACCGAAGGCGGAGCCGCTCCACCCCGGTGCCGTGGTGGGCATCGCGGTGGGCGCCGCTTTGACCGCCCTGGCCCTGCTGGCTCTGGGCTACCACCTGGCAAAGAAGCGCTGCCGGCCCCCCGCCACCATGGATTACAAGTGCGGGGGACCCCACGAGAAGGAGCTCGGGCTCCAGCCGGTCGCCTCGGGCTGTGCCGGCCCCGCACAGAAACTGTAGGGACTGCGGGCAGGACGGAGAGAGGGAGGTGGACTGAACTGGGTAATATTTACAACCCCCCCCGCCACCACCACCTCACCCCTGCTGCAATTTTTTAATGACAATTTGGGAAAAGCTGTGATCAACCCACTTCTAAAAATACTCGCTGCTTTCCAGCCGGCTCTTGGAACCCTGGCGCCAGAGAGCCAGGAAGGCAGAACGCGCGGAGGCTGCTCCGTTCTTGCTCTGTTCGTTCCTGCTCCGTTCGTTCCTGCTCCGTTCCCGCTCCCTTCGCAGGCGGCAGCCGGCATTCAGCTTTCCTTTTCCCGAGCCAGTGGTGGGGAAAAGCCCCAAGGAAAAACGTCTGGAACTGACTCTAAGTCCGCGTGGACCCTCTGACTGACTCGGTGGGGACTGTGGAAGGTCGCCCGGCCCCCAACCCCTCTCCCTCGGGCCGGGCTGCAGAGGATGGTTTTCCGGGATTGGGAGGCTCCTGCCTTTGTCTGGAGTCGGGTTAATTTGTTTTAAACTGATGGCCGATGGAAGCAGGAGCAAAGATGTTGTGGGCAGCACTTTATGTGGCCCCTCTGCCCCCCGTGTCTGCACCGTGTCCCCCCCATGTCGTGCCTCATCCCCGAGCACTTTCCACCTTAAATCACTGGTGGCAGTGGCGACCCAGCTGAGTGTCACTCGGGGGGGGGGGGCTAAAATGCCTGATTCCTGTTCCCTCAAGTTATTTTGGGGCTCTCTGGGGGGGTGTGGAGGTTAAACAGGGACACGACACTGCCGGGGTGGGTTTTTTTCCGTGGCAGGGAAGGTTTGCGGCGCCGCAGAGCCTCGTGTTCCCCACCCAATTCCTTCCCCGATTTCCCACCCTGGTCGCATTTAAACGGATTCAAGGTGTTTTTACAAACCCACTTACGACCCCTCCTGCCCACAGGGATTTTTCCTGTTTTCCCTTGACCGGGGCTGAGTCTAATCCATGCTGGAACTCACAGCGAAACATTCCCACGGGGGCAGGAGCCCGCCCGCTGCCTATTTTCCAGCCACGGCCTGGGGGGGAAAATCTGGGAAAGGCTGTGTTTTTCCAGCTCCTTCATTCCATGGGGGTCCTGCTCCGGCAGCTGTGGTGGGGTGAAGCCGGCGGCTGCTGGTGGGAATGTGGGAGCGGGTGCTGACAGCTTTATGCCAGTGAAATATCATCCCAGAGCAGCACTTTGCTTTCCCACAGGAAGTTTTGTGGGCCCGGGGTCAGAACTGGGGGGTTCTGTTCCCCCCCCCATGTACTGTGAACTCGCTAACATGCAACATCCCCCCTGGAATGCTGAACTTACATGTCAAATTCCAAGGAAAATCAAAATAGTTTTGTGAACTGTGGGTTTCCTAAAAGGTTGTTGCCCCCAGGGCCGGGTGACTGAGGGTCCTGTCAATAGGCAATTAGAGGGAATGATTTATTGCAAATATAAGTCTGTGGCAGGTTTATTTTGGAACAATTTGCTTGCAGTGGAAAGGAGGGATGGAGCTGTTTGCATTATCCATAGAAATGGAGCAATATCAACATATAAAGGAGTCACTTAAGAAAATATATAAGAAGAAAGAAAGAAAGAAAAAGAAGGATAAGAGCAGACAGTGGAGAGGAGAGATCCCACCCATGGCTCCAGTGATGGGACTTGACTGTTGTGATTTTGCTGTGTGATGGTCACAGCCTTGATCTGTCAGGGATGGGGGAAGCCCCCAAAATACAAAAGCTCCAAGGGTTAATACACCTTCAGGCTCAGGTGGGAACACCCGGGCACCTCCCCTGCCTTATCCAAGTGTGGATCACACACAACCCTCTGGAGGGAGCCCCAGAAATGAGTCTGGGGGCACCTCGGGAGTCTTTGATGGTTTATGGCCCCTTCTAAGACGTGACCAGGTTTGACCCTGAGCCAGTTATGCCTTGTCAGAAGGGATGAGCACCTCCTGGTTTATGGGATGGCTCCTGGGGGGGAGGACACTGCCATGACAAGAAGCATCATCCCACCTTTCAGGAGCTGCTCCTTCCTGACCTTTTCCCTCGTCTGGCTCAAACCTCTCAGCTTGTTGCTTACACAAAGTCGGTTTGTCGTGGTCGCCCTCCAGTGTCTTACACAGGTCAGAGGTTCTGCCACCACACCCCCAAAAACTCTGCTCCTCCCCTTCCGTGC